TGCCTGTACTACTTAGCTATATCGTGTGCGGAACAATACAACTCACCTCTCGTATGGCTACGGCAGACTGGCAGCGATTACTGCAGCCAGCCTCACCTAACCAGCCACACCGAGAGGCTTAGCTAGTTCCCTTAAAAAGCCCTCATCAGGGCCATCAGATAGTCTCTCACTACCTGTTCTGTCAGTCTACAGTCTTGCTTATACTGTTTGCTCGGTCTTGCCTTTGCAATACTTCACCTGTCCGGTGGAGGACCCGAACGCTGTGAGCTCGGTCTTGCCACTGCTGCCATGGTATATGGAGTGCACACCACATAAGTTATTTTTGATCTGTAGCTCTATTTCACTGCGTGTCAAAGTGCCAACATGACTTAAATAAATACATAATTTAAATAATGAATTAAATGTGTTGTTAATTAATTAAAATAGGTTTTGTAGCTCCCGCTAAGTTGAAAAACAAACACAATGTGTTTTTGATTTTTACTGGCATTTCTTGGACACAGGTGCTACCAACGATGCCGTGAGAACTGTATAAACAACATAAAATAATCAATTTTCACAGTAAGTTGTTCTTAATGAAAACACATCTTGCAGTGCACACTCTTTACCCACAGGTGGAAAACTTCGTTGTATGTGTCTCCAAATCTGTACCAGGCACCAACTGAGAAAGGAAAGCATGCTGCCCTCTACCGAGTGTGGCGTGTAACTGAAAATACTGTCAACCCAAACAACAGACTGAACATTGGTTCCACCCTGGAAACATTCTGTAAAACCTTTAAATGTGAGTTTTTAAAACCAACAATGTATACATTACAATCTGATTTATTAAAAATAAAGTATCTTAACTTATTTATTGCAACTTAAAACCATGAAATTATCTTAAACTGCATAACTGCTGGTGACAGCAGCCACAGGTATTAATAAATTAATTACATAAATAAATAATTAAATAACAATTAATTTCATTGAAAATCTTTTTAAAAAATTTATCATTTCAAATTTTCATTTATAATCACATTTAATGAATTCATTATCTGTTTCATTAAATAATTATTAATTTATTAATTCTTTAATGGTGTATTTCAGGGGTATTCAACTAAAATTTAAAGAGTTCCAGCTGGAGAAAATTTCTTGAAGCAAACATCACAATGTCTAATCACATAAACAGTGTGATAAATATATCAAAAACATTTTCATTATATGTAGTATATAAAAAAAATATTCTGTTCACGCAACATAGAACTAAACATATATGTTTGACTAGTGACATGTTAAATGCGCACACTAAAAATTTCAAAGTAGAGGTCCTTTTCAAAATAACAGAAAATAAGAAAATGATGCATGTTGAAATAAACTAAATACAGAAAAATTACATAAATGGAGAAAAAGCTTGTATTTCCCCTTTTGTGTTTTATTAGGCGATCAACCGACTGCATGGAGAAGTCCAGCATTTACTCATTAAATGCTCTATTTTCTCTTTCCATGTTTCTTTTTTTGCACAGCCATATTTTTTCCTGATTTTTCGCTCCCTTTCTTCAATTCACTGTTTTTCTATTTTCTTTTTCTCCACTTTCTCCAGTGCTATCGTCTGTATTTCTCCCTTTTTTTCTACATTGCCGTCTTTCTTCTTCTTTCTACTCTTTTCACATGTAACTCTACGCTGTCAGGGCTGCAGAGTCCAAGTGTTTAGCACCCGGAATGCACAAATTTAATTGACTGAGTGGCTGAACTTGCATCCAATTTGCCTGTGTTTCTTCAGCCACAGAGCCGCTACCGTAAAGAGCAGAAAAACTGCGCCAATTAAAATAGAAGCGCCCATCAGGTTTTAAATCTGTTTTGGTTGTGGGTCCGTGTCTGTATGGGACAGTTTGTGGGTCTGGACTCAGACTCACAGTGTTAGTGACCTCTGATGTATTCAATTAATTCTTTTAGCACTCTAAATCAATTAATTTTATTGGTCAACCTCAGTCATGAAACTCAGGGGGTTAATCGAGGTTCATGCTGATTAAGTCAAAACCATTGTTTTGCCCTGGTGGCCATTCTTCTAGTGGGCATTTCTCAGTACCAAGTAGGCCAAGTGGCCCACTATAAAACCATTCTATACACTTTTACCAGATGTGTTTTCTGCTGTATGCAACCTTTTATGATTTGTTATTGTGGACCTGAGAGACCTCTTGTGGACACTTTGGAGTACTGCTGATAACGCAATCCGAAAACACAAACAATATTCTTTTGTATCAATCTATAATACTTCAAATTTAAAAAGTTAAATTATGCTTTACAAAACACCCATACTCACCGGACACAGCACCGAAGTCAAGTTTCTCCAAATCTGACAGAAAAACAAATTCAGTCAGGGAAATAATTATTTGATCTCCTGCTGAATTTGTAAGTTTGTTCATATGCAAAGAAATGAACAGTCTCTAATATTTATAGCAGCATCATTTCAATGCTGAGAGACAGAATATCAACCAAAAAAAAGGGGGGGGGGGGGGGGACCCACATTATATAAAATTTATGGATTGATTGGGATTTCATTGAGTGAAGTAACTATTTGATCCCCTACAACCCAGCCAGAGCTCTAGAATCCTTCCAGCCTCACCACCATCAGAGCCAGAGACAAGAGTGTAGACCTGCACAAGGCGGGAAGCGGCTACAAGACCCTCAGCAAAAAGCTTGGTGAGAAGGAGACCGCTGTTGGTGCGATTATTCAGAAATGGAAGAAATATAAAATGACCATCAAACACCCTCAGTCTGGAGCACGATGCAAGATTTTACCTCATGATGTGAGGATGACTATGAGAAAGATGTGGTCAGCTGAGACTGGAGAAACACTTGGATGAGTGATGAAACATTTCTCTCACTGAAACATCCAGATGAACAGAATCAACCTTTTGGGCTCCATAAGGGTAAGAACTTGTGCTCTGGAAAAAGGATATTGGATGGATCATTAATAGTTTTATGAGCCTCATGAACAACTTTTTTTTTTTTTTTCAGTTTCATAGATAAATGAACTGACCCCTAGGGCCAGTCATTTGGATGTAATTTGCTTGTAAGGATTGTTCTTTCATAGTCTCTCTCCATTAAAATGAAAATACCATAAAAATGTCTGTTGTTTTTTCATTGTCCTTGCATAACCAAAGTGCATTTGAGCTTCAGGGCACAAACTGATGGCCGGACATTCTCCTTAAGGATTTTCTGAGAGCAGAATTCATCGACCCATCACTTAGAGCAAATCATCCTTGAGGATCATTCAGATGGGTTTTTTGTTTTTGTTTTTGTTTTGCAAATTTAAAATGAGCCTTCATCTTCTTTTTGGTCAGTAGTGGCTTTCTCCTTAAACTCTCCCATGGATGCCATTTTTGCCCAGTCTTTTTTTTTTATTGTTGAATCATAAACTCTGACTATAAATGAGACAAGTGAGGCCTGCACTTCTTTAGATTTTGCTCTGTGTTGTTTTTTTTAAGGGTTTTTTCTTCTTTTTTTTTGGTGACAACTTGGATGAGTTGTTGGAGTAATTTCAGTAGGCCAGCCATTCCTGGAATTGACTGTTCTTCCAGGAATAACTGGGTGACATGATGCTTTCTTCCAGAACCAATAAGAATAGAAAGATAGATTTACATCACACCTGACAGCATATTTAACATATTTTGACTATCAGCAAAACAAGAAGTGCTAGATTGAGCAGTTAAAGAGAAAGTGGGTTACCATCAGAAAGTGATATACTAAAAAATAAATTACTAACTAAACTTGTTGAAAGGAAAGTGTTCAAAGACATTCCAGACTTTTAACAATTTCCCGTATATAAATAGGGTAGTCAAGTATCATATATGTCAGTCAGTAATGACTCAAGAAAGTTACCTGAAAAAAGTTCAAACATTTGCTTTGAAGGGTTTGGTAAATCCTTTTCTGTCTATGTAGGATCTCTGAGCTCTGTGTGGTGTTCTTGGTTAGCTGATATCATAAATGAGCCATTTACTTGAATTAAACTGAGAAATTACATTGACAAAAATCCTCAGGTACCTTTTAAATGTACAGTAACTGATGCTGTTCTTTCTAAATGAAGTTTCTCCCTTTCCACCACACCCTTAGTCACCCTAAGCTGTGACATGTGTTGTTTGTAAGTGGTGGAGATTTTAGTTGCCATACTTTCTCATACATGTTTTCTTTTTAATAAAACAATCGCTTCTGCTACTAACACAGCATTTTTTTAAACTATGCCAATTTAATGCTTCTAACTTTGTTGATGGCCAGAATATTTGTAATATGATGATAGTCAGGTGAGATCTAAATTTTAACATATTTTATTTATTGTGTAATTAGAAGAACAAAGGTTACTAAAATAAAAAAAAAACAACTGTTAACATTTATTTGTTTTCTACTGTGATATCCTTCATATTAATATCACCATGTTTCAGTGAGCCTGCTGTGACTGTGCACCTAACACAAGTCCACAGCTCTGGAGACACCGCTGAGAGCTGAGTGAACATTAAATACATTCACACTCTGTATAGATGGAAGTATGCAAATTTTCAGACGATGTTTGCAGCACTGCATCCCAGCCTGACCGCAAAGATTTATCATGTGTTTCGATAAATAAATATTTGTTAACAGGAAGAGTTACCCTCCAGTGAATTTGAAGATAACTTTATATTAATGTCACTTCCATCCCTTTTTCCTAGGGCGAGAAGCAGGGTACACCCTGGACAGGTCGCCAGTCTGTTACAGGGCTAAAACACTCACATTAGAATCACTACCCTAACGTGCATGTTTCTGGATTTTGGGGAGGAACCTACGCAGACACGGGGAAAACACGCACAGCCGACACTGAAACTCTCCACCCTGGACCTTCTTGCTAGAAGGTGGATGGTGCCAGCACACAGCACCACCTGCTGCCCCTGCTGAACTTGGATCTAAATTGATGCTTAACGAAACTGTGAGATTTGCTGCTGCCAGCAGAGGGCGTGCTCGTGCCACTTTTCGTGCTCGCTTGAATCCAGTGGCGCACTGAATGGCACGGCTGTAAAGAGGCAGGGCTGGGAGGCAGAGACACACGACACAGGTCTGCTCGGCAGAGGAGGAGGACTCAGTTCATAGCCAGCCTGCGGTGGAAATAAACGCTGCGTGTCCTACTCTAAACCGCAGTTTTGTATCGGTGGCGAGTCGCGTTGAAGAAACAGAAAGGTAAAGACTGCAGCAGCCGCTCAGACGGGAATATTTCCACAAGACTGCGCAGAAGAAGAAGACGATTACTGTGAGTTTGATGCGTCACACCAAAGATTCGTACAGACGAAAACAAAATGACAGTAGCCACCGACACAGATGTTCACCCAACATCTTTTACAACCTTGTGGACATTGTGTCTCACAGCGTCAGTTCTCAGGTGTTGTCACGACAGGTGAACAACTGCAGGTGTGCGAGTCAGCCAGCTGCTCCGTTTGTAGTCTGATAAAGAGGTGGAGGTGTCATTTCTCTGAATAACTCAGTTTTAAAAAAAAGAAAAGATATGTTCTGCCGAAAGAGTCATAATTTTAGATCTTCTTAACATATTCATGCTAAGTTCACGTGTGACATCAGGTGAATTCCATCCTTCACTCTGAATGTAAATCTTGTTGATTTTATTTAGATGAGTGCTGCTCTACAGTTCTGTCTTCCTTTATATATATTTTATAGCCGTTTTCTATTAAATGAAGTCCTCCTCCCCTCATGTATCTGCACATGTGAGCCTGGGCTTGCACATTTACAGAGAAACAGACAGTTTGATGGGAAATGAGGCAAGCATAGTTGGAAGTTGTGCAACTGAGGATGGAGCAAGGAAAGTGTGGTTCGAAATGTGATGACAGTTAATGGGTGAAGTGATCTTTTTAACTTCCTGTGTGTGTTTTGAGAGCCTGGTGAACGACAATTAGATTTCCACATTTCATGGCCTGGCACGTGGATACACTTCTCAGGAACCTTTCCTGCATTTGACATGCAAAACACCAAATTTCTCTCTGTACGTGCTGGCCCGCGCCTCAGCATCTGTCACGTTCTCACTGCTCTTTCTACAGCGAGGTGCTACATTTCTCTGCTGGTATTTGGCAGCTGAACTCCTCACAGACAGCCCCTTTCATCCCGATGCGCCTCCACACCAAAGGCCTGAGCTGCGACCACTGTGAAACAGTTTTAAGAGTCCAAAAGAAGAAGAGCCACAACCTGTAGGCTGCTTTAGATACTGTTTAGTTGCGGCTCAGCTAACGAGTTTCTTTTTTACGTGATATATGATTGACTTCACTGAGTTTTGCTTTGTTGCTGTGAATAATCACATGGGAAGCATAAGAGTGCAGTTTTCTCTCGGTTATGAGGAGCAGTTGATGATAAATTCCTCCTTTTGGAAATGCTTCTGGTGTTATTCACGTTGTGGTTCATAAAGCAACAAATGCTGCTCAAATATCTTCTCATTGGTCCTTGAGATATTGCAGAAATTAGACGCTAATTTGAATAATCAGTCAAATCTGACTAGCTCCAAGCTGGCCTATACTACAAAGACAAAGCATCTATATATAAATGTGTAATCTCTTCATTAACTTCCTGTTCCTGCTTCATTTGACTGGGAGACAGGTGGGGTTTGTCCAGGCTGACCAGCTTGCCGCAGGATTTTTGACAGGAAAATGGCTCATGCAAATCCCCTGCTCTCTCCTTGGGAGTAACACCTGTGCTCCTGTCCTGTGCTGCCTGCTGCCTTTGCACTGAAAAGAGTGAGATGCATTCGTGCATTACATAATGTTTTCCATTTGAGTGGCAGCAGAAGTGCCTCAGCACCGCGAAGCCCAAACTGTCAACACAAATCATATTTGATGATTCTGTGACTTTCTGCAGTTTTGTGTCTTTCCCTGGAGTTTTACCGGATTCTTTCTTACTTCAGTAATTAAACAGAGGTACTTGTTTGCAGAGGGGCCTCACAGGGCACTCATACAGCTTTTTTTCCCCAAATATATGAGCACCCTGTGTAAAAAGGTAGCACAATTACCAGCTGTAGGGTTTTTAAGTTCAGTCTTGTGATTTATGGGTCAAAGAGCACTCTGTGTACTGTGATCGTACTGTACCATGGGATTCGAGTAGTGATATGACCAAAATAACAGGCGTATGAGACTCATTAAGACAGTTACATAAGTCAGTGGTCTGAACATTAGCTCGCAGCGCTCTCATTCCTGATAATGGTTTGAGTGACCAGTGTGCCACACCCCTGTGTGGCACACTGGTCACATTCAACATGTTCAGATTAGAGGAAAAAAAAGTCTCACTGTGTTGTGAAAATGAAATCTGGTACCTTGTAATGTTTGTGTGTGTTCAGTGCAACCTCTCCTCCCACTACAGCCATTCTAGCTCTTCTCTCTGAGGATCCTCCCTCACTATTGTCTGCAGTCTGTTTTGAAGCTGTCTAACATGCTGCGCTCCAGTTGCAACGAGCTGAAAGCATAACGGGAGTGTTTGCTTTCTTTCTGGAGTTTGTCATCTTGGGTTATCCGACACCATGTCAGCCTTTTCTTGCTTCTGCTCAATGCTCCGCTGTAGCGAAATCCAAGCGAATTCCTGCTTTGTTGCTTGTGAAGTACTGAAGTAAGTGTAGTGAAGAGCGGTATTCTGCCCTTCAGCTCCTCATGGGGTTAAAACTGCTTTGTAGTTTTTCTAGTACAGTAGAAAAACTACAAAGCAAAGTTTCTGTTTGGAAATTTATTTACTTTTTTTTTTTATTGGTTGGTCTTTTTGGTTAATCAATTACTAAATTAACAATTTAATACACTGGGTCAAAGTGACCAAATACCAGAGCTGAAGTATCTTTAGTATAGTCTGGCTACATGTTTGAGGCAGATAATGGTATCATTTGAGAGTCTAAATATCTGACATGCACCAAGTTTCCGGGTTTAAAAAGTCTCCTTGGTTGTGAAGTTAACACGGACAGAGAAAATGAGCTAAATGGTATCCATCTATAATACAGATGACGGTGAATAAAACAATGTATGTCCTTCAAACAAGCCAGTCAGACACACTCGAGTCATATTTGGAGGTTTAGGCTCCATACGTCTGCCCAGCATGACCTCCTGAGCAGAGTGTGGGCTCGCCCTCTCTTTCTGTTCTGTTTTATTGTCCTCATTCACTGGCCAGGCTCCACTCGTGTCAGCACATACCACATAGGCCTGCTACTGACGGCCACCAGCGGCAGTGAGAACATTAAATCTAGAGTCTCTTATCTATTTTTGTGCCACACCCTTTAAACTTTGTGAGTTATAAGCAAAGAGGTAATCATCTCCCCAGGTGACTTGTTAGATACAGGAACTAAGAAAGAGGAAAAACCGCAAAGAGAATACGCAATAGGAACAGAAAAGTTCAAATTTATTAAATATGTTCAGGTTTGCCTGGCAGACCACAGGATCAAAAGTGTTTAGTTTAGTTTTTCTCTTCTCATACAAAGTGAAATAAGTCAAACTGATAGTTAAAGGGACACATCATCAATTGTACCATCTGATCATTTACTTTAGGCATGGAGCCCTAAAAAAAGGCGTCTGTAGATCTCTTCACTTGCATTTCATGACAGTTCAGCTACATTCACATGTTGTTTGCCGCATGGAAAGAAAACCTCACAATATTCAAAGCGTTAATGTGTTATCTCCAGATCGTCACCCTCATCCTTGTTGCTCTTTTAGTTAAACCACTTAAATAATCTTTAAAAGAACGTCAGCGATCATCGCCGCGATGGTGTCTTCATGTACTTTGCAGCAGATGCAGAACTTCCCGGTATTATCGTTTTGATCTTAATGACCTCCAAATGGGAATTCCCATCTCTGTGGGCGAGCGGCACGTCAGCACCAGCTTTTGAAAGAGTGGGAAAAAAGGAGACCTGCAGACATAATTGGCTCATAGTTCTTCTACACTGCATAACCATTAGTGGTTGTGTTGGCCGGTTGGAGGCTGCTGGCAGAGCGATCCGTTGGCAGCATCGCAGGAATTCCGATTATTTGGAGGTTGTGATGTTTTGTTGTTGTTGTTTTGGGCCGGCTGAGTCCCCTGCGGCCCCCTCCCACTCTCATGCCCTGATAATGACGAGGTTTGCAGAGGCCCACTTGGGGGACACTAGAGCGCCAGAGCGAGATGGCAGGAAGTAGAAATGAGTTGAGAGAATGGAGACGGTCGTCAAAGTATAAATCTTCTATTTTTTTTTAATTCATTCATTTATTTATTTTTTTTAGTAACCTGTGACTTCAGGTCAATAAAGGCCTGGCCATATACTCCCCTTTTAATCATGTGACAGTCTACTTCAGAGAAGTACATCATTTATGGATTCTCAGAAGTAGAGCATTTACGTTTGTGATATGCATAGGTAATAAAACGCCTTCTCTCGGCTTAAAGGGAAATATGAGGACCTTTGGACTACAGTGCAGGCTTTAGTAAAACTGACATGGGCAAGTCTGTCTCCTATTGTTTCTGTTCCATATGGTAACGATATCCATGGGCCTTGACGTTGGGAGCAGAGGCTCGCTGTGGTTAGTTATCACTGGTAGTTAAGCATAATAAGCCTGCTGTAGGACGTTCTGTACAGCCGTGCTGTACTGTACCGTCCCATCGGAGCAGCGTCTCTGCTTCTGTGCCTTTAAAGAACATTGTCTCTGTTTTCTGTCCATTAACTCATCTCTATGTTTCTCCCCACCTCCCCCATGCCCTCAGCTGAATCATGTGACACACTGGACACAGAGGGTGACCTCCTCCTCACAGCTTCTCATGCAGAGTGGAGCTAGAACGAGACGCTCTCTGAATTACAAATAGACCGAATCTTCTCCCTGGGTTTCCTCTTGCTCAAGTTGTCTTATATAATGCAATGGAGACATTTTTTGTGACTTTATTACCACAGATTTATCTCTTCTCTCAAGAAAAGGGGGTTTACATGGAATAAAACTTAATATAACTCCCGACTACACGTTTACAAGACAGCTTTTCAGAATCTCTGCCTCTCGCTGTCCTCCATCTTTTGTCATACGTCCCTCGCCCCGTGTAGCTTGTTTCTTCTGTTCATGTTGCATTTCAAAGGTCAGGCCACTCTGTAGGTGTAATCCCACCCACCTTCTTTTCTGCTTTATTTCTTGTCATCAAAAGGTCAAACACCATGCTAATATGCAATACCACAGAATAAAATGTAGGTTTAGAGATGAACGCATGGTCAGGGGAACATCACTGTGCCCACATGCACACTGCCGAGCTCACTGAAACTTGTTTTTTTTA